TGGTCAAACACCTGAAGCCTTTTTATATCCTCCATTTTCAATGGCCATGTTTCACAGCCATACAGTAGAACAGAGCGGACTGCTGTGCAGTACACGCGACCCTTAATAGACAAACGAATATCACAGTGGCGCCACAGGTGGCGTAAGTTGGCAAAAGCTAATCGAGCCTTTAGTATTCGTGCAGAAATCTTATGGGCTACTGATCCACTAGGGCTGATCCTATTTCTCAGTTAAGTGAAGTGGTCGACTATGTCTTTGCTTAATATTTTGGAAATATTTCGATTCTAGATCCTGATATAATTTCATTATTACAGACAGTTGATTGTGAAGAATAAGCATATTGAGACTGTCGTCAATATTCTTGATGCGATTCTGAAATTGTTCCACAAGCAATATGCATTTATGAATTCTCTCAAGCAGAAGAGTACGAGGTACAATGTTAGTTACATTTAATGAACGAGGTGAAATCTCTGGGAGTTTTATGCGAAGTGAATTAGGTATAATATTATTATATAAATATCGAACGTTAAAAATACGATGATTATACCAATTTACTCCTCTCATTATTATCAAAGAATGTTCCAGGTGACTCTCTACAAAAGACATTTAACGATTTTAATTTCACCAGTCTCTATGATTATTTGGTTGGTTATGGCTGGCAGAAGAATCCAGGACGCGCGTTTCGTCCTGTTTTGGACTCATCAGCTGGATGTACCTGCATCCCAGTGATGTTGTTCCCACCATCATTGTTCTAAGTGTTTAACTGTCATATGTAGCTTCACAGTCTGTAGCCTACTCTATTTACTCTTTCTTAGAATTGTAACTTCTTAAGCAGCGAAGAGATGGCCCATGGTCTAATTCATCTAACATATGAAAGATCAGTAAGTTGTATCTCCTGAAAACGAAGTGTTTCATTGATTTCTTATCTTTCAGTGGTTAGGGATGCTATATACATATACCCCTAATTTTGCATAGCTTTTACCTGATGTTTTGTCCACGACTTAAAAATGACCTACGTAGCTGTTTTCACACCGTTGCTAGTTTTTCTTCTGTCTCCTCTGAAGGCTGAACTCTTATTAGCTGTTAAGTATTTTACCTACATATGGATTTAATGTTATCAAGGTCATTTAGAAATGTAGGTATACAGCATTGTTCTCAACTGTTCTGACTTGTTGGGACAGTAAAAAGCTCTCTGTCAACGGTCTGTCTTTTCTTTTTGTCTTTCGCGCATCAGTGGTATTGTTGTTGTGGTGGCTGACGTTCTGATTTGTGTTAGAGTCGATTCATTTGGACGTTAGATTCGCATCGTTCAGTAGTCTGCTGGGTTGGTATCGCTCGTAGACTGTTAGGTCATACTACTGGTCATAGCAAGAAGAAAGAGGATTGTGGAAGGAAGAGCGAACGGTTAATCATTGCTTGTTTTTATTTAGCAACAGCTAAAGCGGTTTACTTGATAACTACTCTAAGAGGAAACTGATACTCACGTACGCATTCATGTATTAGGCTCAATATATAAGGACTCTTTATCATACTATTTGGTTGATGGTTCAAAGTTGGTTCCTGGGTGGCATCGATTGAAAGTGTAATACCTTAAGGTCAGCGAGGATTATGTAACCTGAATGAAAATGAAAATAAACTTAACAATTGGTTGGTCTTTACTTTATTCACACTATTTATTTGCCGTCTAGTAAGTGAAAAATTGCGACTTTATACCTGACTCAAGTCACTGTCATTATATATTTAATCACATTTCTTTCACGACAATACCATGGCTTCAAGTCTCAATGGGAACAACATCACTCACTGGAAGGTGGATATATTCAGTTGACGGTTCCCAAATAGGACGAAACGTGCATTCTAAATCCCCTACTAGTCACTATCTATCATTAACATCGTACTATAGTAAATGGTTTGATTACTGTAATAAATATTTATATAAAACTAAGATTTCAGCGAAGAAAGTGTCTCTTTGCGACGACTACATTTTCAAAAGCTGTAAAATCGAATTTATGCTTAATTTAATGTGAACAAACCATAAATTTCTTGCTTTCAGGTTGGTATCCATCATGCACTGACATAAAATGAAGAGATGTTGGAAACCTAAGAGCACTGAACGGCTGTTTCGTCCTAGTACAGGACTCCTCAGCAGTGTGAACCCATGACCTCTCCGCGCCAGAAGTCGAAACCAAGACCTTCAGGCTCCATGACTAACACGTTACCACTGAGCTAATGGATGAGAATCCTACTTTTGTCAGTTCACAACAAAAATAAATTTCCACAAACCTCTAAATCACATTTGTTTCTCTATCTGAAGTAAAGTGAGTGGGGACAACATGATAATACTTATGTCTTTCCATGTCGGATTGTTTGTTTGATTGATATAGCGACACAATGATAGTATAATCTACTGGATGACGTTTCGAGCAGAATCCACTACCTATATTCATATCTCAACTTTGTACTCGTTCATTTCAATGGTAGTAAAATTTTCCAGATATCTCTAATATATGATGAGTCATTCCTGTTACATATGTGTCAGATGCTGATTCGATGAACAAAGATCCTTTGATCAATCTCTTCCTCCACCTGGTAGTTCATTGGATTTTAGAATTGTCACCCTCTCCCACTAGTTCTATAGTGTGATTATGGGTCGGTGTATGCAGAGCAATCGCCGAGTTTCTCCTTAAATTACTTATGCCTTAGGAGGGTATACCACTGTATGTTTCCCTAAATTTTTGTGTTCTCCCATTCTGACTGACCTAGATAGGTTGCTGCTTTGACCTATACACTTAACGTCATAGTCGTTACATAGTATTTGATAGGCCGGATTAGTTTTGTTGATTGGATCTTTTAGCCTACAAGTTTTCTCTCTGAGCGAGTTTGTAGGTTTCTATAACAATCTAATCCCAGCATTGTTAGGAATTCTACGTAAAATTACCGATATGCTCTGGTTATATGGTTTCAATTCCCTTTTAGGCATGTTGAAATCCTCAACAACATTACTGACTCCTTTTCTTATCAGTCCTTATAGATGTTTTGGCAAATTCCAGAGGGTAGTCAGTAAGAAACAGTGTCTCTTTGATGTGTTTCATTCCCTTATTTCGGTTTCCTGGCTCATCAGTCAAACTCAGCCTGATAACTTAGATATTTCATCAAGCCTACCCTGATAGATAGCTACAATAATATACGCTACTAGAAATCGCTCAAACTCTACACTCACAAATTTATTTAACGTGAAACTCAGGCTATATCATATATGATTAGAGGAGGGAGAGAAGATCATCATCATTATCAACATAGGACCAGGCATTACTGCGTAACGGTTCGAGTTGCCACACCTCATATCAGCACATCAAGTAAAAAGGTAGTGAGGCGAAGGATGAAGATAAGTGAATGCAGCCAAAAGAAATATAAAGTACGAGAAGAAAGGAAAGAGGAATGACAAAATGGTGAGATTCGGTATGGCGTTGTTAAGATGAGGATAATGTGTGTGGAAATACATCTGCGCCACTGACATCGGTTCTGAGCCATATCACCTAGGGTCTCCAACCACTGGTTTCTCTTTTCCCGTGGACCCCAACCACCTAGTCTACATCGTCCTACATGGCTTAAACCAACAGTCAGAGACTTCATACATTGGTGCCATGTTTTAGTCTGGCCACCTCGGGCTTTTCCAGCCTGGATCCACGTCAGCCAACATTGTATGACGAGGCAATCGGTGACTAGGCATACGTACTACGTGTCCCAACCAGGCATCTCAGTCGATGAAGATTTACAACCTCGTCAACTGACTTACCTCTTCTCCCCAAAACTCTACACCTAACTTCTGCATTACTCACATGGTGACACCACGGAATACGGCCTATACTACGAAGGCAGTGGTGGTCAAACACCTGAAGCCTTTTTATATCCTCCACTTTCAATGGCCATGTTTCACAGCCATACAGTAGAACAGAGCGGACTGCTGTGTAGTATACGCGACCCTTAATAGACAAACGAATATCACAGTGGCACCATAGGTGGTGTAAGTTGGCAAAAGCCAATCAAGCCTTTTGTATCCGTGGGGAGAGAAGATGATAAGTTTTGATGTCAGAAGCCTCTATACAAATATACCAATTAATATGGTACTTAAGACAGTAAGAAATGAGTTCACAACTGATGATAAACTCAGTAGCGATAGAACTAAAGTTTTAGTTGAATAAATTATGCTAGGGATACGATTGTGACTAACTTTCACAGTTTTCAAATTTCAAGACAAGATATATTTGAACAAATAAAAGGCGCAATAATGGGATCTCCAATATCTCAGATCGTTGCAGACATTTTTATCGACAGTTGGGAATAAACGGTATTAGAAACATTCCACCCCACCCAAAATGTAAGGTGGTGATATGTACAGGATACATTTACTTTGCATATATTAACTCGATAATAGATTCAACCTAATTCATACTTATGAATTAGAAAATGAAGAAAGAGAGTTACTCATGTTGAATGACAAAATTAAGAGGAGAGAAGATGGAAGTGTTTATAGGGAAAACAAACACATTCAAGTAATAGATACTTGGATTTCACATCATCTCACTCTTTATCTGTTAGAGTTGGCTTGATAAAATATCTAAGTTATAGGATTAAAAGTTTGACTAGTGAGTTAGGAAACCAAAATAAAAGGAAATGAAACATATCGAGGAGATGCTCATCATGATTTGCTGTATGATCCAGTCAACCACAATCAGGACGATCATGGGTGATAGTAGGCAGCAGTCTTATCCTACTTCTATGCTTCACTTTAAAGGCCAAGTGAATTACAATGTTTCGATTGCTAACCCTGTCGTTATTCAGACTTGAAAAAGTTTCATTAGATTGTGTGTATAAAGTTGTTAGTATTCTATGAGTATGAGTAGTTCTGTCCATTTTAATGACTGGTCATTGATATTCTATTTCCTTTCATTGAATTAAAGTATGCTAGACGTATATTTCTCTGTTGACTTTTCTTTTAGATGGTTTAACTTTAGAATATCTTCTATGTGAAAATATTCTACTTCGTATACTATTCAATCCAACATGTGATCAATTACGTTTTGGTCTTCAAGAAGCATTGAATCATGTGATTGGTAATGAGTCAATTGTTGAATATCCTGTAACACCATCAACATTGGGAAGAGTTTCATTAGTCTATACAGGTCAATTACTTGGTTTCACTGGTGAATGGCTTTTGAATGATTCAGCGTTTAGTGGACATAATCTACTTTTATGGCTTGATGGTGAAGCAGCTATGGTAAGTGTACTACTTTAAAATGTTTGTATATAAATCTGGTTATTATTTCTTGGTGTTTGTTAGTAGTAGGTGGAGATAAGCTTGCTTAACAGCCTAGTGGACTGGTAATCAATTTTGAAGCTTTTAACTGTGAATAGAAGTGTCAGTCACTTAGACTGGTTGTATAGCTATCGGAGAGCTTAATGAAATTGAAAGTTTGTTCATTTGGTATACAGCTTTTCAAGAGTTTACATAAATTAAGGCTTTGTTTAACTTTGTGTAGTAATGATGGGCAGTGACTAGCAGTTGAATTCAGGATGCGCATTTCGTCCTATTTGGGACTCGTCAGCTGGATGTACCTGCCTCCCAGTGAGTGATGCTGTTCCCATCAGGATTTGGACTCGGGAGCAATCGCTTCAAAAGTCAGGACGTTATCCACTACACCACTGAGCCACGATAGCCACTTCTTGTGCGACGGGTATAGTTTTAATGTTATTGCATGTATGACACCGTCGTTGATTGGACCGAATTGATCAGTCTCTGTTGGTATATGGGCTCCTGTGCGGATGCCTCGATATTGCCAGTGTTTCAATTATGTGTAGTAATGATTTGTTTAACGTTGTTATTTATCAACACTTGTAATCTCCCGTCTTTATTGTCGACTGAGTCGATCGACCTCAGTTAGCATATGGGATCCCGCTGCTGGCCACCATCAAAAAAAAAGTAGCAAGTAGCCACAATTCACAGTAGTACACAAACATTAGGTGAATAGAAAAAGAATGATATCAAAGTAGATAAAGTGAATTTTAGACAACGGTTTACTGTATGTTACGGTTCACCTGGAAAATAACATTACAGTCCATTAGGCGCATTTCATCCAATTAAGGACTGGGTGTACCTGCACTTCAGTCAGTGTTGTTTCCACTGAGATTCGAACCCAGTACCGATCACTTTAGATGTCAAAGAGTTATCCAGCAGGCCACTCAGGTATGATTTAGCCTGTTTCAGGTGGACACATCAGTCACACTTGTTACTCTGTAGCAATCAATCAATAACGAAGATGGAAGTTGATCAACATCTGTGCCACTGTAACTGATTTTCAGCCGTTTCACCGAGAGTCCTCAACCACTGATTCCTATCGTCTCGAGGACCCTAACCAGTTAGTCTACATCTCTCCACATGGCTCATACCATGAGAGAGAGACTTCAGAGACTGATGCCACATGTTGGTCTGGCCTTTTTCTGAACCCTTTTCCTACCTATTCCAACTTCCTCTAGCATTGCACTTCGAGGTAGATGGCGACTGGGCATAGGCAGTAAATATTCAAGCTATCTCAGTTGACTAAGGCTCACAACCTTATCAGTCGTCTTGCCTAGTACTGTTCGCCTGACCTCATCTTAACAATGGTCACACGATTATCCCACCAGACGCATGAAATACTACGAAGATACCTACGAATAATGAATAATCATGCAATATCGTGGCATTTGCATAGGACCCTATTCGCCAGCAGACTTCTGTCATTTCGATCCAGAATAACGGTGGGGAAATTACAAGTTTTAATAAATAATGACTAATACGCGTTTTATAATAGGCAGTCACCGTGCCTCAGTTTCCTGGTGGCTGGCGCTTAAGCATTTGCAGCGACGAGTACTAGCTTTGAGCTTTAGTGGGAACAACATCACTCACTGGCGTATAGGTACACCCATGTGAAGTTTCTTTGTTGATTTTATGCCTAAAATATCTTATGTTTTTTTTCAAAAACTCTCTATAAACATTATTTCATGCAGAAGTATTAACAGGTGTATGCATAAGATCTGATTGATACTGATTGTAACTTGTTATACACCTCATTTATCAAATGTTGAGTTGCTTTAAATATCGGCTTATCAACCATATCTGTCATAGATTTGTACCCCTAACTCATCTTTCTATCTCAATACAAAGTAGGATATTCAAAGTGACCAGATTAAGACATGCAACCAGTTGATAAAGTGTCTAACTGTTGGTAGGAGCTATGTGTAGAGATGTAGACTGCTTGGTCGGAATCCTCGAGACGAGAAGAATTAGTAGCTTAGATCTCTTGTTAACATGGCTGAAATCAATCAAAGTGATATCTAAAGCTTTAAATATTCACACCAACCTTTATCTTCTGACTATTTATTCTCTCACAATACTTTATCTACTTTAATATCATTCTTTTTCTATCCACCTGATGTTTATATACTACTACGAATTCGGCTAAGTTGAGGTGGTACACCTGTATACGAGGTTCTACGTTGATTTATTCAGTGAATTAGTTTATTTCGATTGGAAATAAATTTAACTGCTCATTTCAGTGGTTACACCAAAGTGGCCTTTATGAAAGTTTCTCATTTTTGATAGTTTTTAAATGAATCCACATAGTTGTTAGAGTAATATTGAAAGTCACCCCTTGTACATTTCCCTTTTATTTTCCCATGTCTATGAATAATTCATTTAATAAGAGACAGAATAAGATATGAAACATCGTCATTGACTAACTATCCAAGTCTCTATACTTCACAAAAAGATGGAAGACAACTGTGTTTCATTAGCTTAAGCGCTGGTCACTGATGAGGTTGAATCTCACTCCATCTATAGTGGTCTACGCAGTCAGGTGGTATCATAAGCCTTCATGGCCGACTGTATGAATAAAGAAAAGACTACCAAATTGCATTTTAATATAACAGGAGTTGGTAGAGAGAAAAGAAAACATACGATCGTATGCAATAACTATTTCAAAGGAGCTTATTCAACCCACGGAACATAAATAAAGTAATTTTTTATTTACCCTTTTTCATCCCACTTCTTGACAACCGACTCTAGTAGAAATTTATTAGGAAGTAGCGTCTTTAACTTTAATCATATATCCTTGTCACTGTCTTAGAATAAAATATATTTTTTCAAAGTTACAACTCTAAAACTTGAATAGTATCCATAGTTTTTTTCGATATAAAACAATAAAGACTTCACTGAACAAATTTCCTTTTAGCTATATCAATTCTTTAGACGGAACGAAAACTTCAGTGAAGATATCTTTCTTTTTATGATGAGTTCACTCTTCATAGTTGTACAATCACAATTCATACATTTTCGTCTAACTATGGTTTTTTTAAAAATTATTAATTGTCCCTTGAGTTCTTAGTGGAATATAAGGCTTCAGTAGCATGTCACCATTTCACTCTCTCCTCTTCAGTCTTTTGAACCTAGCTCCACCACTGCCTACAAGCTTTTACTTCTTCCTCACACCATCTCCTCCATGTCACTCTCGAGTGCCCAACTCGTCGTTTCCCATCTACGTTCCACTCGAATGCTTGGCCTGCCGCGTGATGTCTCCGAATGGTCTTCTCAGTCCATGCCCAATGCAATCCATCTCCACTTTCTTACACTGCATATTTGTTGAGCGATGGGTTCTTGCTTCGTTGGTTCGTTCCCAGAGTTCTTTGTTGCTTATTCTCTCTGGCCATCTGATCTCATCTTCACTATCCAGTGAACGTAGGCGGCAGCTGTTGATAAAGTCTGTAGTTTGTTGGAAATGCTTTTCGTAACGCGCCAAGTCTTTCAACCATCACATAGAAACACTGACTTACTTGACTGAATTAGTAGTGTTGAAAATCCACATCTTGTTCACGCTTTATGCTGAGTGCAGTAGATCTCCACACTGATTTCAGATTAGTGAAAGCCTGTCTCGCTCTTCTAATCCTGTCTTCGACGTCCTCGTCTATGTCTGTGCCGCTTGTAGTTGAAACGATGCTGCCTAGGTAGGTGAGAGAAATTACTTCCTTTAGATTTCTCCTCTTAATGGTGATTGGTGTGTGTTGTTGTTGTTAGATGGGTGGGTATCTTCATCACCTCTGTCTTCTCTACATTCACTTGAAGTCCCGTCTTCGCTGCCCTACACTGCCTCTTCTGTCAACTTGTTAGTTTTCACCTGTAGATCTTCGAGTTTGTGCGACATAAGACATTAGACATAAATCATCATTGGCGAAATCTAAATCTTCAAGGGTCTTCTCATTGGTCCAGCGTATCCCCCTCTTCTTGCTCCTTACAATTATCTGCTGCATGATCTAGTCGACCACAATCAGGAAGAACATCAGTGATTGTAGTCAACCTTGTCTTACCTATCAACCTGTCTTCACTTCAAAAGCATCACTGAGCTTTACATTGTGAACCACTTGGCATGTAACATCATCAAATAGCTGCTGTTGAATGAGGTCGATAAAGGTTTGTGGGATTCCGTAGTGTTGAAGCAACTGCCAAATTACTTCTCGGTCGATGCTGTCGAAAGTTTTTTCAAAGTGGATGAATTTGAGATAGAGAGTTGATTGCCATTCTGTGCTCTGTTCTATGATGATATGTAGCGTTGCGTTGCTATTTGACCGTCACATGATTTGTTCTTCCTGAAGCCTGCCAGCCTGTTCAGATTGTAATTTTGAATTCAAAGCACTTTTTAGCCTCTTCAGGATGATATGGTTTAATATTTTGCTTGGTGTGGACAGGAGTATGATGTCCAACTATAGTTACAAGACGTTATTTAATTAAAATCCAACTTGAATAAAGAATAAAAATTCACAAATATGATACAAAGGTGAAAATCACAAAAGAGTAGCATTGAAACCAATATAATTAACTGGAGAGAATTGTAAAGTTGTAGAAGTATGTGAAAATGACCTTCAAGATAAAGCGTAATCATCGGAATTCGCTTCAAATGTCAAGGTTTTATCCATTAGGCCACTGAGATACGATGACCACCTCTTGTACAACGATTATTAAGTATTATTATTTGTTGATATACTTATAATTCACCTTTCCTCGTGCTTCACTGGCCTGGTGGATACCACCTTCGCCTTTGAAGGTCTTGGCACAAAGATTTCATTGTATAGGATGGCAAATGTTGGGCGCTGAGTAAAAAGGTTGACATTAGATATAGAATTGTATATTTGTGTAAGTCATAGCGGGTTTATGAAAAAGAAGAAGTATATATCAGTGAAGTCTCTTTT